CCGCGCGGCGGTCACGCCGCCAGGGTTACCAGTCACAGTTATGTTACCAAGAAACGTTTTATTTTGCTTGCAGTAGCTCTGTTAATTGCACAAAATCATGTTTTGTTTTTGCCATTTAAACATCACACAATCCTATTCTGAAAGACATGTTCATTAAAAACAAAGCAAAAATAAAAATTCACAACCTTAATTACTAGATTTGTCATTTAAAGGAAAAACGGGTGGCAGGGGAGGGGCTTTCTTACAAGCTTTTTCACAAGTCACATTTTTCTCCTTAAAAGGGAAGGATTTCAAAAGAGGTGAAATAGCTTAAACAGAAATATTCATAAAAAGGAACTTTACAGAGTTTGTCAACAATATTAAGACAACACTGACTAACCAGTTTCATTACAGCATCATCCCTACCCCCACCCCCAATGTCCGGCCGGGACTAAACAGGCTCTGTGTTCAGACAGAAAACAACTCAAAATCCCAGTGAAATTAACTGTGCCCAAACCCTACAGCCACCCTCGCCCCCCGCCCTCCATGTCTTCTGAGACCCCCGGCGTGGGCTCTTGCGCTCACACCAGCCCATCTTCACACTAAGTGCTGACTCCTGCAAAGTGAGACTTTGGAAAATGCACTCCACGTCGAGGGATAACTTGTTAGGGACGTCTCCTCGTTCTCAGGCCACATTCCAAACCCGCCTGGCCCCCTACACAAGGAGAAGTGGGCCTCCGGAGATCTTACACCCACCGAAGGTCAGTCAGGGGCAGACCCCAGGGCCCTGAAGCTCGCAGGCCATGCTGTGGCCCCCCGCTGCAGGCGCGGTTCCCGCTTTCAGAGCAGAGCCTGCCCTAAGGTCGAGCTGATCAGGCTGGGTGCGGGCCAAGGAGGGAGACGGACACACAGAAATGAATCCCGTCTCCATCGGCGGGTGGAGTGCGTGGGGCAGTGGCATGCAGGGCCCGAGAAGGGGCTACTGTGAGGGACCTGGGTAGAGGCTCCGCAGACCAGGTGGAGTCTGGTGCTTAACGGAAACAGGAGGAGCCCAGCCTCCACCCTCTTCCAGCCTCAGGGGCCCTCAGGGCCCTTCCCAAGGCTTGGAATGCAAGTCTAGATGTAAAGTGGCCTGGGGAGGAGCCAGCTCCCCAGCTTGGAAGCCAGGAAGTGGGTCTGGCCCAGGGCTCCAGGGTTCCCCTACAGCTCAGGCTCACCACAGCTGCCTTCTGCTGCTCTCCCTGCCTGCGCTGGCCTCTGCCAACCTCTTCGCAGTTCACAAAGGCATGTACGAGTTGGGTGCACACCGGTCCCTTAAACACACGCTCCTCCTCAGCGGGTCACCTGAGGTGGGAGGGCCCAAGGGCTCCTCTGTTTAATAGTCCGAGCTGGCTCCTCCTGGCCCACAGCCTCCTTCTAGGGGGTGGGGGGAATCCAATGGGAGGGGGACGTGGGCATGACCGCAGCCTCTTTGCTTTGAAGGAAGCAGTGGGAAGGTCTCCGGTCCTCACTGCTGACTAGCTCCTCGCCTGGAAGGGACCTCAGACAAGCTCGGAAGAAGGGGGGAGCCAGGCAGCAGCTTCTGGGCAGCTTCTGTCCGGGGCGAGAGCCAGTGTATGTGGGGTGTGTGCGTGTGCACGGGAACACACAGCCACCTAGTCCAGGCCGCGGCGAGCTCGCGAGCTTTCCCATGGGCCAATCCTGCCGGCACCCTCCCCAGGACCACCAGGGAGGGAGCGACGCTGTGTGCTGTGCTGACGGCGAGTCTCAGTCTGTATAAAAGGAGATGGAGACAGGTGGACTGGTCCAGAGCTAAGTCCCAGGACCCCAAGCCCATGTGAGGAAGCAGGGTCGGAGGATTGGGGTGGCAGGGCTGAGGGCTTAGTGTATGTAGGCTCGGTACACGGCGGACATGTCGTTGTCAGACTGGTCCAGTGCCTTGGCTCTTTTGTACACCTGGAAAAGAAGGAGACGGCCCGGCTCAGTCTCCGGCCCGTGGCCCACTGAACCGCCTTGCTTCCCGGGGAGGTCTGCAGTCCAGGCCAAATGCCTGGCATCTAGCTCCATCCACGGCCCTGGCCAAGCGCTCGTTTCTCGGGGCCTCAGTGGGTGCCTCTTGACTTCACGGAGCGGGCGAAAGTTAGGGTGGGGATCAGAGGGTGCGAGGACTGAAGGTGCCAGGAGATGGCACAGAGGCAGGCTCAGCGTGGCCAGGGAGTGCAGCCATGTCCCTTCCTGCCGACGAGCCGCCAAGCACTCCGGGCCACGCTCAGCAGGCTGTCCCTCAGCTCAAAGTTCTCCTCTGACCACCCTGGACGAAGCCAGGACTGCCCACTTGGCCTGGCAGCCTCTCTTTACTCGTACTGCTGCGCTCCTCTTTCCGCCCTTCGGAAACGTGTTCCTGGTGGAACGCCCCTGGGCTCATCCGTGCCTCCTTCCGCTAAAACGTAAGCTGCACTTAACCCACGCCCAGAGCTGAAGACAGTGCCTGCCACGGCACTTGCCCTGGAGAGTAGGTGACCAGGAGCGTGAGAATAAATAAGCCACCGTCCAGCCAGGGGCATGCGGCCCGCCCCTACACGGCTTCTGACTCACCGTGTCTGCGCAGGCCCGCCAGCCGCGCAGCGCCCACCCTGGCTCCGGTGAGCCTGGCGAGGAGGGGTGGGCTAAGCGAAGAAAGACCTTTCCGGACGAAGGAAGGTAATCGTGGCCAGTAGGCTGCAGGCTGCATTATGGGAAAAGCTACAGAAAGTGACCCCAGCTGAGAGTAACTGGCACTAGAGAAATTCAGCTCTCCCGGCAGGAGTGGAGAGCACTGGCAATGGGGGATAGAGAACTGACGTTACTGCTTTTTCAGATACAGACGACGCGTTCCAGCAGAACACACCAGGACTGTCAGGTGGGCTTGAAACAAAGGCACCCAAGACCCAGATGTGCTGCCTGAAAGCCCTGCTGTCCATGTGGGGTGCTGTGCCCCTGAGAAGACACCTGGCCAGGCCTGGAATCCTTGTCTGTGGTTTGAGGGGCGCTGCTGGCACCATGAGGACGGCCCCCAGCAATCCCCAGGCTGGGAAATGGGCGGTGGGGGCGAGGCAGGACCCCGTCGGGGGTCTCGCGTCAAGAGGAGAGAGGCTGGCAACTGAGAGGGGCTGTGAGGTCAGGGCGCACGCTGCACGCAGGCAGCGCCGGGAAATGCAGATGGAGGAGCGCAAGGGTAAGGGTAAAATGGAATTGTAAAACTGCTCAACCCAGAGGAAGGCAGGAAGGGGCTGGCAAGTCAGACACGGGGCAGAGCGGATGGAGCAGGCGGCAGAGTCCGGCGCGCACAAGGAACCTAAGCCTAAGCCGGAGCCTGTGTTCACGGCCAGCGGCCAGCGGCCAGACCCCCCAGCGGTCACCTCAAACTTCCAGCAAGGTAGGCAGCCTGCCGCCAGGGGGGACGCAACCTGGAGTCGCCTCAGGGGACGTGCCCCGGGGGAGCGCAGTGAAAGACAAGCGCACACAGGGTGAACCACGCGGCGATTCCGCAGCCGTGGCAACCCCAGGTAACGCAAACAGGGGAGCCCGAAACTGCTGCAACCCCAACAGCGGAAGCCGCGTCCTCACAGGCGCCGAGCCGCGCGGGCAGAGACAGAACTCCAGACGGGCAGGAGGCAGCAGGCGGCGCAGGGCGGCCCGAGTGCGATTTTCGGTCAGACCCTGCGTGTCTCGCACACGTGTGTCACCGCACGGAGTGCTCACTGCGGCTCTGTGGTGAAGGTGAGGCGGCCTTTATGTGCGCAGTAACTGGGACACAGCCCAGTGGTGCCGGGTGTGGGGCTGGCGAGAGACAGTGGGAGCAGAAGAGGCGGACGGACAGAAACACACTGCTGAGTGGGCGGTGGGTGGGTCGGGAGGGTCTGCTGTGCCCTGGGCTCGCTCCCAGGCTGCAGTGGCTGTGGACAGCTTGATCCTGCTGCCACTTAACCCCTCGTTCCAGGGAGGCCCGTCTACTTCTATCAGGTAGAGGTAAAACAGCTGAACAAAAAACTGTTCTCAAAAAGTACATGTGTAGGTGACTAATAAAAAGTCATTCAAAAACGCTAGCAACGATTAATAGGCAGCTACTGTCAGAAACAATTAAAATGTAAATCCCAGTGAGAGTCTGCAAAAGCTGTGATTTAAATATAAAACACAGGCTGAGCGCAATGGGGTAGAAACAGGTCAGGAAGATATTAAGGACCACTGGCGAGAGGCCACGGGAGCCATTTCGCAGGAGTCTCCTAAGGGAGATGAGACGGCCCCAACTGGGCCCGGAGACGCGCAGCAAGACATCACGCAGTAACAGGAGGGGCAGACGGCCCGATTCCAGCTGGGGGTCTAACTAACCCTCCTCAGCCAGAGGCGGAACCGAGAAAGTGTTCTTCGGGGGGGCCCTGAAGCGTACCTCGACCCAGCTTCTGCACGACACAGCTTTCTGAGGGCAGCCCACCTGCACCAGACCAGCCAGGGTCTCCAAACAAGTCTGGAGACTTCCAGGGTTCAAGCCCTCTAACTCGCTGACCGCCATGGAGAAAGCAGAAACCAGAATCACTAGCTCACTAGAAACCCCATGTATCCACCAAACTCAACTACTCCACAGGCCAAAGATGAAATCGAGAGAAAAGCATGGCTCAGAAGGAAACGTGTGCTCATGTTCGGAAAGCCAGAGACCAGGCAGAGTCCACCTTGAGAGGCCAGAGAGAGGGAGAGAAGAGCCACAGGAAGCCGAGGCAGGAACACCAGGGACGCAGGCAGGTGGCTGCCCCCGCCAGGTCCCCGCGGTTACCTCGTTGGCTGCAGCTGCCATAGGAGTGGGGTGGTTGACAGCATCGCCCAGCGCGATGGCTAAGCGGAGATCCTTCTGGATGTACTTCAAGTAGAAATCGGGCTTAAAGTTTCCTTGCAGGATATCTGAGGAGGGAAAGCCGCTATCAGAAGAACCGAGGGCACTTACATGAGAAACCACCTGGGGTCGCAGCTAGCGTTCCTTCCCCCCTTGGGCACCCGAGAAATAAATTCGCAGCCCGTGGCCCAAAGCCATCTGTTATGTCTCTAGACCCTCCTCTGCTGGAGTGGGGGAACAAAGAGCCCCCGAAGGAGACTGTGGAAGCTGTCTGACCTGTCCCCAGCTCTCACCAAAAGTGAAGCTATGAGAGGAGAACCTACTTTGGCACTTCTGGTCCAGGAAGATGCTGGCCAACTGTCCCTGATTGAGGATGTCCAAGAGTGTCTGCTGGGATTGGCCTGTCACCTGGGCCAGAGTCAGCCCCTCGGCGATGGTGGCCATGAAGCTCCCCTGCACCATGTTCACGATCAGCATCATCTTGGCGGCATTGCCGACCTCACCTGCCCAGACACAGGATCATGGTCACTCCCAGGAGTTGCACAGGCAAGGACTGCCCACCCTCACCCCTGCTCGGCCCACTGCTACAGCCAGGGAAGGCCCCATGCACCTGCCCCTGGCACTGGTTCTGACCCTCTGGCTGTTCTCCTTCCAGGAGCCGACTTGCCAAAGGGAACCTCCCAGGGGCCCCGGGCAGAAGGGCCGATGGGCTTGGGCCGTCATCAGTGTGGTGAGAGGCGTGTTACCTAGAAAGAAGGAGGTCTTCCCCATTGCCTGGAAGCAGCTGCTGCAGTCCTCATACAAGCCCCTGTCTCCGGCCGCTAAGATGACCAGCATCCCATCATTCGACAACTGCTGGTTCCCGGAGACTGGGGCTTCCAGAAAGCGGCCCCCCCGGGACACGATCACCTGGGAAGAAAGGAAACCACAGCTTCTGGAGGCCTTGCCTCCTGAGGGCTGGGGCTGGGGCAGGGCGTGTGCTGGGGCCCCAGGGGCTGGGCTAGCACTGGGGGTGTCAGACAGCCTGCCTGCCGACACGCACCCGAGCACCCGAGTGACAGGCAGGAAACACCGGGAGCTGGGGGCGCCTCCCAGTCTCCATTTACTCTGCATTTCCCACAGAGACCACACACGGCCATGCTAATAGCTGTCCCTGAGGACACAGCCTGTTCCTGATTTTAGCCACTGTCCGAACACAGGGCTCCGAAGTCTGGTTCCCTCCCCTGGGCCTGGCAGCGCCATCAACTGCAGGCCCCAGAGGCAGCACGGGCAGCCTGGATGGCCTCTGTGAGGCTGGCCGCTCCAGAGCTGTGCCCATCTCAGCGCATGGAGACAGGCTGGCCCCAGCACTGGCCTCCCCAGCACTGGCTCTGGGTTAGGGTAACCTGAGTTGCCCACACTTGTGCAAGCCCAGCCAGGGCTCAGGGGCTCCGGCTGGCACAGTGCTGGAGGGTCAGCCTCAAGCGGGGCATTACCTGGGCCAGCTCGGTGACTGTGTCGGCGTCCACTGTCGACATGTCCACGTAGCACTTCCCGGGGCGGATCCCCTGCAGCACACCACTGGGGCCCAGCACCAGCTGTGGGGACACAGGGAGAAGCAATAGCCCAGGCTCCCAGCCAGGTCCCCAGGGGCCCCTTAGACCTGAGGTCAGAATTCTGTGGCTTTGGCTCATTTCCTGATTATGAGTGAATATTAAGGGAAGGGCGAGTAAATAGGCAAGTGATAGAAAAATACTCCTAGCAAGTTCCCATTTATCTGAAAAAAAAAAAAAAAAAAATATATATATATATGCATGTGTGTTTCCTTACAAACTTCCCACTTAAGATAGAACCTCAGGAGGCCCCCTGGTGGCAGAGGGGTTCAGTCTCAGGCTGTCACCTCTAAGCCCAAGTCCACCCCGGGCCAGGGAGTGACCCACAGGGTGCTGCAGACCCCTCCTGTCTCCCCGCTGCCCTCCTCAACAGTGGGTTTCAGTGGATCTGCCTGAAACCCACTCGGGTTTCTGCTCCCCACTTGGCCTCTGGTGAATCCTCTCATTCCCTGCACCTTTAGCCTGCACCCAGTTCTTCTATGCAAAAGTAAACAAATAAACAAAAGCTGGAACCTCAACATTTCTGGGCTGCCCTGGCTTTGCTTGAATTAGATGAGCCACTAGTTTAACAAATAGGTGCTAGCTAAACAGTTCCTGGGGACCAAGCGCACACACGGCCCCAGGCTCCAGCTCCACCGAGCACGGGAGCCAGGCAGGAACCCCTTGAAGGCCCACCAGCAGCTTCAGCCTTCGCTGTGAGTTATATAGGTCTGTTTCCAGTGTATGCAAATACCCCTTGAGATGGCCCCCAGATGGGAAAAGTCCACCCCCCTCCCCCCACATGCGGACACTCACTGGGTGTGCAGGGGAGAAGGGGAGGAGGCCAGTCAGCTTCCCTGGCTACAACCTGAGAGTCGGATGGGAGGGAGGGGATCCTTACGTCCTTGGCTGCCTTTGGATCTGACACGCAGGCAAAGGTGATGTCACAAGTTGAAACGACTTCAGCGGGGGTTCTTCCTAGGCGGGCCCCCTCCTGGATGAACAAATCACACTGCAAAAGTCACAGATCCCAACGTGAGCTGCAGGCAGTGCGCAGTGAGACACGCCAGCCAGGCTGAGACTCGGCGCCCCGTCCTCTGGCAGTCTCCCACGGCGGGACCTGGGGCTGGAACGGGGTCACCAGCCGGGGCCTGACTCCTACGGGGACGTGGACAGCCCCTCAGGGCCGTCACTGTTAAGTGCCCGCTGCCTACACGGTGTTCTGAGCCTCCTCGTAGGTGTAAAGCAAGCGCTTGGAGGGCTTCCTGCCTCAAACAGGAAGCGAGCAGCACCTGTCTGCAGTATGTAGCCCTCGGTGGCTTCCTTGCCCTGGCAGCTGGGCCCAGTGCCCTGAGTGCTTGGCACTGTGTGGGAGGGAGGCAATTCTGTTCCTGTCCCTTATTTTAGATGTTTTGGGGGTGTCAAAGTACTAGCTTTTCTGGGATTTAAAATCACCCAGAACCTTTCATAAGAAAACACATCAACCCTATTTTGGTGTGTTTCTGTCTCTCAAAGGCAGAAAAAGTAATGAAGACAATCTGGACCTACTGTTTGGTGTGGATGTTTGTAGCTTTCTGTATGACTTACATTTATCCGCCTTGTGGTAGTCTCCTGCGATCATGGTTGTGAGGGACGGCTGAGAATGCTCTGGCAGACACGGTCTCCCTACGGGCTCCCTGCAGCTTTGTGTCTTGTCTTTTTCATCTTTAAGTACAAATGACTCAACAAGTACCCTCATGCACGCTGTCTCCTCTAGGTTTGAATTTAGGGCTCTCTGAGTAGAATCAAGCACTCCCGGGCAGTTTTCAAGCTCTTGGAGACTGCAGGGGGCACCCAGGGCCGTCAGCGTCGCAGGGGCGGTCACCAGCGGTTCTCAGGCACCAGCGCACATGCTACAGACACCGGCAAGGGAGGAGGCGCCGACTCAGCCCGACAGCCGGCACCTTCCGGTGGGCAGATGGATCCCTCTGCACGCTCGAGGTTCCTCAGACCTTTGCTTCTCCTCTATGAGATGTTCTTTGTCATGCAGTTATCCAACTAGGTGTTTTCAGATCGCGTATCACCTGCTCCCTGTCTGCCATAAGCACTTCCGGCGGGGCACCCCCGACCCCGCCTCCTACCGGGAGCACCATCGGCAGCTCTGGCCAGCTCTTCCCCAGCGGTTTTGTTTGCTTCTAGGCTTAAAACGCCTACAATGGCATTTAATTTTATTTTCTTCTGGTTTTTTCCTTGAAAACAGTAACTCAGTAATCCACTTGGAAACCGCTTTAGCGCGCGGTAGGGCTGGGCTTGGGAGTGCCCCACCTTCCGAGTGCTGGTCCTGAGCACAGCCTGCTGGCCAGGCTGCCCCTAGCGCCCACAGGCGCCTTTCCGTGGGCGCCTTTCCGAGGTAGCTTTAGACCCTGTGCCCTCTGGGAGAGGCTGTCTCCTCCCCCCCCCGAAGATTTAAAAATGCCTCCTAGTTATTATTCCAGAAGAACCAGAGTCATTTTTACAGACTGTTTTTGAAAGACTCCATGGCGACTGTCATGAGGATCACAGGGCTTGTGAAGGCGACTCTGGGCAGGTAGTCTGAGAGCGCCGTGCCCGGCACTGCCCGCTCCAGCAGGCTCCTGCTGGAGCCGCGGCCCAGCCAGGGGCGGGACTGCTGTGGCTGCTCTGCGGGGGGCTCTCAGGCCTAGACCAGGAGGTGGCAGTGACGCATCTGCTTATTCTACACCCTCTCTCCGCTGCTTTGCCGCTGCCTCCCCCAGGTAATCTAGAGAGAACGGCCGGGTTTATAACATTTGGGGCTTCCACTCGTGCAAGCAGGTGACCAGCGCACTCTGACGACGAGCAGCGCGCTCTGTGAGCCCTGGTTCTCCTGCCCTCCTGCAGCCCTGCAGCCCGGACTCGATGCCTCCGGCAGCGCAGGGTCTCGGAGATGCACACCCGGCCCCTGGGGTCTCGCTCCTGTCTAGGTGCCCATGGCCTAAGCAGTCCCAGCGCCTGTGCCCAGCCCCTGTGGCACAGCCTTCCGGCCCCTTCAACACACCAGCCAGCAGCACGTTATCCCAGGAGAGGCGTGTTTCGGCAGTGGCACTCAGCCCAGTCCCCAGACTCGGGCCCCGCCGCCACGCGTCCTTCAGGAGGCTGCTCCTTCCTTGGCCTCTTCCTCTGTCTTGCCGCACGGCGCTCTGGCTTCCTGGCATGCATTCTTGGACAAGAACTTGATGGCGCCATGGCCTGTCTCCATTAGAAAGGGTGCAGTTCACAGGCCTGGAACCCCAGTTCAGAGCACAAAGGGCCCTCGGCCACGCGGGTTGCTCCCCTGAACCTCTGAACCGGTCCTGTCAACAGGGAGCTGCCGGTGGCAGGGATGACACACACTGCAGAGCACAAGCTGAGGTTCACGCTTCAGCCTCGCGAGCCCCATGCGAGTGTTCAAGCGCCGGCGGCGGCTCAGGCCCTTGGGATGTCCGCTCCACGCTGCAGTGCTCGCCCCATCCGAGCGAGGGCCAAGCTGACCTCCCTGTGGTGCACAGGCCGTCTCCTCACAAATCCACGTTTGAGGGAAGCGGCGTAAAAAGGGCAGGCCTGGGGGCCTCACAGAGACCTGCACTGCGTGGAGAGGAGACACGGGCTCCGACCTGAGCTCCCCAGGACCCCAGGCAGGGCTCCTCACTTCACCTTGTAGCCCTGTAGATGTCCTGGAACACCCTCAGCCGCCCGCCCACCCAGGCTGATGGCGGGGCTCGCGCCTCTGCTGCGGCCGGCCGCTGACAGGCCCAGACCGGAGCGCTGCCCGACCCTGATGCTTACTTTCTCTGCAGTCCGGTTCCAGACCGTCACTGTGTGACCCATTTTCAGCAAATTGGAGACGATACCACTTCCCATGAGACCAAGGCCCAAAAATCCTATCCTGAAAGAGAGAGAGATGGTCACCACTGGGGAGAGGTGGGGAAAAGAGGGAGAAGGTCCCCTCAAGGCCGCACAGCGTCCGCTTCCTTGTAACGCCAGGGGCGACCTTAGTGGCCAGCATCTCGGTGCTGACCCCGTAATACAGAGCCGAGGGCTGCAGGCCGTGTGAGGCTTTCCTCAAGCGGGATTCTCACGGTGGGTCTTTTAAGCCAGCCTGTCTCCTGCTAGTCCGATCTCTGCCAGACAACCACTACCAGCAAGCATCACGGCCACCCTCGCCGGCAATGGCCGGAGTACCCCCCTTTGAGTCCCTGGCAGGTGCAGTGTCACAGGGAGCCTTCGCGCCAAGGGGCCTACTTTTTGTCTGTGGGTGTGATGCTGCCATTCACGGCTGTGCTGTCTGCGGCCTGGATGGAGGTGGACCCGGTCTCCTAGGAAAAGGAAGCACCCACTGTCAGGCCAGTCTGCGTGGGCCGAGGCCCAGGAGGAGGAGGGAGAGGCACAGGGCGACGTACCTCTTCACATATCTTCAACTTCTTGGTGATGGCCTGGTAACAGACAGCTGGCTGATAAAGAGGGAGGAGAAAGTTTATCCCACAACCACTTCAAGTCACCGCCATTCGGACGAGGGCCGAAGGCGCTAAGTTAACAGCAAAAACTAACTGCAGTGACCCCCCGGGAGCTGAACACAAGGCCCCCGACCCGGTTCTCCGCCGGCTCGCAAGGCGCTGTGGCCGACGCCGAGCATCCAGGGTGCACGTGTGGTCACGGCCCGCGCGGGTGTCAGAGCGCGGCGCGGCTGGGCTTGGGCCCGACTCCTGCCCTTCCCACCACCTTGCAGTGCTCGGGACACTTCCCTCCATGTGCCGAGGGCTCGCGCGGAGAGCTCACCGCCCCTGCGGGCCGCAAGCACACCCAGCCGGCAGCACAGCAGCCGCAGCCCTTGAGAGCTCACTTCTGTCCTCCACTGAGGCCAAACACTAACATCTCCACCGCAAGGCAGTCGGTCTTAAAAGTTTTTTCTTTGCTTTTTCAAAAAAGCTCCCGTATGACCTCTGAGTCAGGCAGAGTGCCCCTCCCTGAGGAGCAGGGCCGGGCAGCAGTCTTGTCCCAGCCCTGACCAAGAATCAAGCGACTCGAGAGCGGCTCACCTTCTCCGTCTGGCTGAGCAGGAAGTGATGGAAGTGAGGGTCTGCATCTTTAACAGGCTGCAACCAGAAAATCAGCAGGGCAGTCAGTGACCTTTCTCTTGTGACCGGATGCCCCCGGAACTGCCCTGTGGACAGTGTCTGGGAACTCCTTCCCCTTGGGGGGGTCTAAGCCATCCAGAAGGGAAAGTTATGCTCCCGCCAACAGGCAATCAGGCATGTTAACTATCCCACCGGCGCAGCCAGGCAGACTGGGTCTCAAGTCCCGAGTCAGGCCACCCACGGCGGCGGTGCCCCAACACCAGGACTGGCGACAGGACAACGGCGGCCAGCAGTGAGGTCGTGAGACACATGGCAAGAGGTGCTTATAAAACACGTGAAAAATGTGCAGAACATTCTCACCTTTGTGAAAGACAGACCCCACTCCTTATAGCAATGACAGTGAGGGGTGGCCCAAAGGTAGGGAACAGTTACATCTAAGGCCACACACAGCACCCCAGGGCAGGGAGTTCTGCACTTTATACTTCTGCATCTTTGTGATCAGAAGGAAAAGCCTCAAACAAAAGGGGGGGGGGCGCGCGTGCTCTCACCTCGCTCACAGTCGGCTGCCATTTGAAAGTGGCCATGGGGCCAGCCATCAGCCCCTTCACGGTGCTGGACTCAGGGATGGTGAGGTCCTGTGGGGGGAGGCACTCTGTCAAGGCGACACGCCCTGCAGGAGCAGAAGTTGTCCTTCCCCTAGTGGCGAGCACGCCTTACTGCCCTGTGTCCCTTCCACCCCAAATCAAGGCTGTGCCAGCCAGGGTCCTGGTGCCGGTGCCTGTCCACTGGATGGGACAGTTCTGCTCGTCAGTGCAGAGGGAGCCTCTCCTCCCCATTCCTGGAATACTGTGTCGTTTGCCAGTTTCCCGAGGAGGCCAGAGGAAAGCCTGACTGCGGCCGCAGTGCTAGCAAGTCCCAGAGAAAATACCTCACGGCGAACAGGGAATGTGAGGAGAACAGTGCTTCCTCCGGAATGGATCCGCCACATCTCAAAACAACAAAGCCAGCCACCTGGTGCCAATCTGCCCAACATTTAGTTACCAAGTGACAACGCCAGAATTAGAAGGCAGGGTGCGCGCCCAGAGCCTGTTCTCTCCCCGGGCTGATGGGGCCGCCTGGCGCAGGGCAAGTCCCGCTTTGCACTGCCTGTTCTGCCTCCTCTGTGCCCTCATTTCACCCCAGACGCCACTGCCCATCACTGTGGCTACAGCAGCCCCTGCCCCTGCCATTTCTACCTGGAGATTTAATGGGAATCTGAACAGGTCCATGGCACTCTTGACTACCCCGCCCAAATGGGCCCCTCCACCATCCTGGTCAGCAAGCAGCAACTCTGCCTCCCAGGCGAGACCTGCGGCGTCCTTGAGCCCACCTGTGTAACTGTCTTATTCCCCACCAGCACCCAAACTCAGGCCACCGGTGCCCATCACCTGGACACGAGGCATCTCCCTGCCGTCTGACCCTACCGCGGCAGTCAGCACGCGGCAGCCGGAGCGGCCTGCGAGGTCGAGTCGGAGGGCAGGGCCCTTCCCTGCCTGACTGGCTTCTGTTCTCGCGCCCTGCAGGGCCCTCCGTGATCTGCACACCTCCTTCCCCGCTGGTCTCTGCCTCATGTCCCGTCGCTTTCTCCCCCTTGGCCCCCTCTCTGCTTCCCACACACGGAGCGTGCGCCAGCCTGGCCTCCCACCAGCACTACCTGGCCACACACACACGCAGAGTCCCAGCATCGGGTTTTGTCCACCTCAGCATCTCTCCTGCACATTCCTGTCACCTGGTTGGCCTCAGAGCCTGCTCTGGGCCGGCACCGCTGTAAATAGGAATCCTCACACCACATGAAGTGTAACTACGAGCTCCAGTTACAGAAGAGAAACCGAGGCACAGTGAGCATAAGCAGCCTTGCCCGGGCCACAGGTCTAATATTCTCCTTGCGGCCAGGATGACTCCCTGGAGGGCAAGGAAGCTTAGGAAGCTTGGCCTGCCCGGGGTTTCAGATACTGTAAGTTCCGCGACAGCAAGAATGTTGCTAATTTTGTTTACTGTGTCACTTGCTGGGAACCAGGCCCAGCTCGGAGAGGCTGCTTTCTCCAATGTTCACTGAAGAAAGAGGAGCCGGACAGCTCTTTCCTGAATGCTGCGTTTCTCTATCACCTGGCTGCTGAGCAAAGAGGGTTTGGGAGACAGAGAGGCCGGGGCGCACTGTCAGGTCACTGAGGCACACCTGACGTGTGCCGCGTGGAGGCTGGCTCACAGGCGCACCTGCAGCGGGCAGCACGACCAGCTCCCTAAGCCTCGAGGACACCGAGAACACGCCTCTCCACAGGGCTCCTGCTCTCTGCTCTGGAGAGTCCTGCTGACCTGCAGGACTGAGCGGTGGTGTGTGCCCAGATGTGGCCTTCTCCGCCAGGCCTCAGAAGAGCCCAGAGGGGCGAATATGCCTCTCGGCGTGGCTCTACAAGGCCAGGTCCCGGGCTGCCTGAGTCACCGCGAATCCTCACAGGGCAGGGGACAGCGGCCCTGCCCATCAGCCCCCGGGGTCCTGCCACCGACTGCCCTGGCACTGCTGGCAGAGAAGTCCACCCCAGAGCAGTCACAGCAGCAGCCTGCCCAGCAGCAGCTCAGGCCAGCAGAGCAACCGCACCCGGCCCAGGCAGACCCTCCAGTCGCCAGAACTGAGTGGCCGCCTGCCCCGGGCCGGAGCCAGGGGAGCCACGCACACGGCAACGTCCTCTCCTGGCAAATCCTCTGCGGGTCAAGCAGAGGCCATGCAGAAGAGGCCTGACTGGCACAGGGAGCGCTGTCGGTGACAGGAGAGAAGTGTTGCTCTCCGCCAGCAAGTCCTACAGACACGTGAGCACTCTCCCTAGCAGGCTTAGTGACCTCTGACTTGCCCCACGGCACCCTACAGCTTTCACTGCACAGTGGCCACCAAGGGAAAGTCACAAATGGGTGACATTTGTGATGTGCCTGTGATAGTCACTTACTCTGTTCTCACCATTAACCCAAGGGGCGCATGTCAGGATTGCTCCCCGTGACCAGATGCGAACCGAGCGGGGGGGGGGGGAATGGCCAAGGCCACTCAGCTGCTGCATGATGGAGCCAGACACCAGCTCACGCGAGTTTGGAGACCATGTGACCCTGGCAGTTTCTGGAGCCCAGGAAAGCCTTCCATCAGCTCACTGTGCTCACCCTCCTAAGCTCTGCGTGGCAGCTGGTAGCTCCTGTAATCCTGCCCCCTCTGGCTGGCACTGGTCCCCGCTACTGGCGCTGCCCGTGCTCAGCCTCAGTCCACTGACTGAGGACCGGCTGACACAGCGCTGGCAGGGGCAGCCCACGGCTCAGTCAACCCAAGGCATTCCTCTGGGCCCGGAAGTGCTGCAACGGAACTGGATCGGCACCTCCCGTTTCCAACTGGAACATTTCAGACAAAGATCTGTATTTCCAGCTTCCTGCAAGAAAAGCCAGAGGCGCCACAGCAGCTGGCTGGCGCCCCGTGGCAGGACCCGGCCCCCAAGCCTGCTGCCTGCTCGCACTGTCTGTTTCCATTCAGACGCCAGCGGGCCGGTGTGGCAGCAAGCGGAACCTACGAGGCAGCTTCTGCACTGGCCGGACCCCGGCGTCCCACCTGCAAGCTGCAAGCTGGCGTCCGGCCCCATCGCCCAGGCGTCCCTGTTGTCACTGGCCCCAATTCTGCTCTGACCACCACCCTGTGTGCTGACATCCCCTTCACCTTGAGTTCCCCTCTCCTGGCTTCTGAGACTTGTCCTGAATCTTCTCGGGAAGGCAAGCCGTCCGTATTTCTGCTCCGTTCCATTTTGCTGGCTTTTGACTCTTCTTTAAAGCCAACTGCCCTTTGCTTCTTTTCCGCTTACTTTACGCTGAGACAAACCCACCCCGTCTCATGGATGCGACACCTTTCGGTATTTCCATACCTCACATCTTCATTTCACGACGCGCATCTCTCTCTAGGCCTCCCTGGCTGTCTGGGCATCGCCCCAAATTTATCACACTCAAAATAGAGCTGGTCCTCTCTCCTGACTCCTCTGCTCTTACACACAGCATCACCACTGCCCAGGACGGAGCAGAAATCGCCTCCTTTCCCTTTTCTTAATCAGTCCCGTAGTGATCAGCTGCCTCCTGGCAGTCTCTCGTGCCACTGCGCCCTCAGTGGCACGCCGGAGGACTGCGCCCACAGCCCACCCACCAGGCTGAGTGGTCACTCGCACAGCTTAGAAGTGTACTGCTACCTACGAGACTCCACTCAAGCGCCTTCAGGGCTCCCCTCTGCCACCACGAGGCACCCACTCTGTAAGTGGACCTCCAGACTCTCCCAATCTAGCGACAATCCGCTTTCACTGCTCCTCCTGCCCTGAGGACAGCCTGCAACACCTTCCTCCTTTCAGGCTAAGCCCTGGCACACTGGCTTGGGTGCGTTGTTCTGCTTGCCACCTGCTGGTACGCCGTCCCCGGCTGACCATGGCACTCTGTCCCCCACACCCTGGCCGTGTCCCCGGTCTGCAGGATCCCTAGGGCGGCACTTGGCACAGGCTCGCTCCACTCAGTGAGCGAAAGCGCCTCGGAGAGCGCGGGTCTGCACGTGCATGAGGGGTCCTAGCCCAGAGCTGCAGAGATAAACAAACCTTCTCATCCTTTGGGGGCCGACCCCGCTTGCGGGGACTTTGCTCTTGGGCTCTTTTGAGAGGGGACTTGGAGCCTCTCTCTGAAGAGCCTGAAGACACCCTCTTCTTCCCTTCTCCCACGCTCTTCTTCACCTTCCCTTCAGACAGGCTGAGCTTGCGCTTCTCATCGCCTGAGTTGGGCCTACTTCTCTCCTCACTGGAATTACGCCGACTCTTGTCATCAGCAGAACTGTGGGACGAGGTCTGAAAGTTCAACAATAACAGTGATAACCACCACCAGGCCTGCTGTGAGCCACGCCCTGGGGCCAGCGCTTCTCATGCATTATCTGCACAACAACCCTGTGAAATAGGCTCTGTGGCCGCCCCACTTGCATTTGGGGGAGTGAAGGGGGAGATCGAACTGTTTGCCCAGAGTCCCAGAGCTAAGAAGTGGGGCTCACACCTGGACGGTGACCATCTCCGGGAGGCTGCGCGCCTAATCTCATGTGACAGAAGGATGCACACAGCCTGCGCTACAGCCTCAAAAGCCACCTGCCTCTCCTATCCCAGGCAACTGTCTTACGAGAACCGTCGACTCCAGAAAGCGCAGCAGCATGCATGGAGTGTCAAGCTGACTTGCACGACACTGACACTTTAAAAACAAAGTGTGCCCTCTCCGCGGCATTTCATAAAAACAGAGCTCCGGGCCTGGGCAACGTTCAACCTGCTAGTTACCAGGCAAACCTCGCCGGCCTGGCTCTGGCAGAGGGGAGACGTGGGGCCCTCACCTGGTCTTTGCCTTTGGCTCGCCTCAGGAACTCTTCCACAGCGTCCACTGCTTGCTGGAACCGCTTACCCTTGTTAATCTTGATCATCTCCTCCTTATGTGCGTGGTATGGCTTCAGCTGTTCCACCTTGATCCAGGCACTAGCAGGGAAGACACACAGGAAGGGCGTGAACCACGCCACACATGCCGAGGAGCAGCGCAGACCCCACCAGAGTAGAAGCAAACATCCCTCGGTTTCACAGGACTTCCAAACAGACCTGCCATTTTTTCAAAACTGGCTACCATCACCCCCAGAGCTGAGCCTAAAAGCAGGCTTTCTTGAAACAAATCAGCCAAAACCACCAGCACCAAGCAGAATCAGCACTGCAGGCTGTGCTCGCTTCTACCCTCATTCCGAGCCTCCCCTGGAAGTGCGGCCCCTGCCCCGCCTCCCCCGCCCCCAGAGCAGGGAAAGTGCTCGTGGGTTCCGGGGAGCGGGACATCACAACCACAGCAGCCTCCCTGCCAGACTGACAACGGACATGGCAATCGACTGGCCAGCAGGGATCCTAAGAGGGCTAAGAAATTCTCAGAAATGCAACACTGTCCAAACGCTACTGCTCTTATAAATATCTGCAGCCAGGAGCAGATTTATTTGTTCATAAATGATTGTATCCATGGTCACTAAGCCACACCAAACATGTGACAATGGCTTGGAATGAGGGCACAGTCACAAAGGAGGTCTTTAGATCAGGACTGCTTGGGATCAGAGGTGGAACACTCAACATTCAGTTTAAAAAAAATATTTACGCATGCAGAACTGGGGTACAGGGCAGAGGTGCCAGGGTGGGGAGAGGTTTCACCAGAAACAAGAGTGGAAGCAGAACAGGCCGACTGACAAAGCACACTGCTGAGGGGAGCAGCAGGGGGAGTCAGGAAAAGATCTGCTGTGCCCTGGGGGTCACCTCCGGGGCAGGGATCAAACTTGCACTGAAGCAGCTGCGGCCAGCTTGCAGTGCTGTGCTTTAATCCACTGCACCAGAGAGGGCCCTCAACATTTAATTTTAAATTGCTACCTTCCATATGTAACACATGAAAGTGGAAAAAGTCACTGGCTGTCAATTCTGGATTATCTAGCTTACCATACGAACCTGCCCCTGCTGGCTTTCTGTGGTTTCCATAAATGACATTTCAGTTTACAGAACCCCAGTTTAAAGGAGAGAATTTTATAGGCTCGGCAAGGTAGTGATTTATGTTTTACCCTGTAATACTCACAGCTTTCAGAATATAACCTTCAGAAAAAGTGGGTCAGGTTAAGAATAAAGAAACTGGGCTATCACTAACTTAGGGTTCTCTCCTTTGTAGAAAGCTCGAGAACAGTCACTAATAATAGTAAAAGTGCTACCCTCTGTGCCGAAAACAACGCTGCCGATTCACCAGCAGCCCACCTGTGCCTGGAGCCCTGTGACAGTGGCTAAGACAGTGGGTCTCCACGAACTCCACCGGCATTCAGGGGTGAAACAGGCTCCCCACGACTAAACAGAACCAGAGAGAACGGACACTGCTGGGCAGACAGGGCCCTCCCAGCCCCCAGCTCATCTTCAAGCTGCACACGTCTAAGGACAGACCAGAGCAACCAGAGGCCAGCCATGCTGAGGCCACCCGACACGAAGCCGTCACACCAGTTGGTGGTGCTGAGGTAACACAAGAGTGGGGGCCTTGGGGAGGCCCCTTCTCTCTTCTAGTCTCAGGTTAGAAGCGAGCCCCACATGAACTCAGTGTTAAGACCGGAGGAGAACACTGAACCTCTGAGTCGGAGTAAGGGAAGGTGAGGAGGTGCTAGTAAATCCACACCCACTTTTTTGTTGAAGTACTTTCAAAGGGGATCCCTGATTTCTGTCAGAGGGAGAACAGAATAGGTAAAATTGCACTCATCTTGGTGACTAGCATTTGAGAGATCAAAACGAAATTCTGCTTAAGACCATCTTTGAAAACCGAACTGACAGTGTGACTATGACTTCACCGCAAGAAATGATAGTCCACTCAAGAACTAAACCTATTATTGGAGAAGCATCCTGTCACATCAGAAAACCAGGAAATAAAAAAGCAACCCACTGAGCCCTAAGGATTACCTCTTGAAAGCAAGACAAACTGAAATCACTTTGGCCATCTCTCAAGACTACTGCAAACCCGTCTCCTTAAAGGGCACGAGTTTTGCAGCCAGGGACCAGCAACGCATGGCCTTCCAACTCGCTGGGGCCGCCGGCCAGGCCTGGTGTGCTACTGGCGCTCATCAAATAATCAGAGTGAGCGCCGCCTCCCAGGCCCGGGGGATGGCGGCTGCGTGCTGGCCTCCGGCTTTAGCAGGGTTAAAGCCCTGTGCTCTACGTCTCAGTCCTTCGGTGCCTGTTGCTGTCTCACGCCTTTTAAGGAACTGTCCTGTCTCTTGCCTTCATGTAAGGTATGACGTGAGACTTTCCTTGCAGAACCCTCCCAATGTAGTGCTGACCCGGGCCTTTCACCACCCACCTGCTGTGGACTGAGAAGTTAGGAAAATCGAGCTTCGTCAACTTGCCTGTCAAGGCTTTGCTTTTCTGTGCAGAGATGCTGATGACACAGCTCGCAGAGGCGAATGCCCCCAACCCAGACTGGCGGTCACTACACACGATGAAATGGAAGGTCCCTGCCCTCAGCCAGCTGAGCGGGAAGAGCAGCAGAGGGACAGGCAACTCCTGCAGGCACAGCACGCTGGGGGCGTGGCCCCACAGGAACCAGAAGAGCTGGACGCCCTGGGCCAGCGCCAGCAGCTGAGGGGCAGGGGTGAGAGAGTGGACGGTCTCACGGTTTCCTGCTCGATTTTGGCGGAAATGACAAACATGTGCTATCTTAAAACCAGCCAGCCAGCCACCACCCGGGAACAAACCGACAGTCCCCGCCTCTGCTGCAGGACAAGGGCTGCTGACCCAGGCCGCCCTGCCTCTGGCACACCCTCTCGTGCCACACCCCACTCAAAATGAAGCAAAACCCCCACATTTTCAAAGACTTCCGTACTGCTGACCTGTCGTGTCCGTGAATTAAAACCACACTGGGTGACGGACGGCGTGAGCGTGACGCCAATCTGGGAACCTTCCCCGACACCCCCAGGTGTGCCGCGGGCGCTGTGCTCGGGCACGAGGTGGGGGCGCCGGGACAGAGGGCACAGTCCAAGGGGAGAACAGGACAGAGCCAGACGTGGGTTCTCCTCTGGACTCGGTGGGTAGCTCTTAGTAAACCACCTGCCCTCCACCCAACGGGACGAAGTGTTGCAGGTCCCAGACCTGGATCTACTCAGAAATAAAAAGACCCAAACTCCAAATCAAGACCACAAGTCACAAGGCAAGTAAGCACTTCTTGGTGGACTTCAAGCAAGGGCGCTCACAGACCTTAGATACAAATGGTTTAGATTTTTCCTCAAAACTCGGAAGTGCTCCCCAACGCTAGCGGGGCTTTCAACCCGCAGTGCCGGTGCCAACACACTGGGCCCCAGCACTCGGCGCCGGCCTGGAGCCCACCGCCGGCAGACTCATCTGCTCAGAGGAGCCCCCGAGGAGGCGTGGCGGTCACACTCGGGGCGCGCGCTCACTGTCCTCTAGCTCGTTCCCCAACATTGCAGGTCTCTGATGGAAGGGAGTGGGCCAACTGGGTGCCAATAAGAAAAAGGGGTGCGTGGATGGCTTCAACCCACTCTGCTTCTAATCACGAGCCACAGACGGCCCTGGAAGAGTGCTTCAGTGCTCGGCAAGACAGCCCTCAGCGGGTCTGTCCACCTATGCCTGGAGAGCATGTCCGCTGGGAGCCTGCTCCATCACCGCGACCAGCGGTCTCCTGCCTCCGTTTCTCAGTGTTCAAAGACGAAACCAGAGCAACCCGCTCCATTCCTGAGCGGTCTGCTGCGAAGCGGCCAGGTGTGAGGCCCACGGGCAGCCTTCCGGGGTTACTGCTGCCCCCCAACAGTGCTCTGAACCGGTGTGCTGGGTGCTTTTCGAGCACAGGCAAAGTCAGTTGCCTCCCCGGAGCTCTGCAGCCTCCGCCCAGACCTGCAGGCCCTGAGTGTGGTCCCTGCTGAAGCTGCCTGTACCTGACCGTGGGCACCTGGTGCAGGAGACGTCACACGCAGGTTCTCTCTCCGCAGTTCCAAGAAAAGAGAAAGCAGCTGTGGGCAACTTCTGCCTCGGCCAAGCAGGCTCTGAAGCTGAGGCAACCCTCCTTAAGGTCCTCCCACGCAGGGCCAGTTGGGGCAGTCCGGGCCTATCTTCCTATTGGGAATTTGCTGGATGTTTTGCAGAGGAAACCTTCTACAAGATTGAGATCACTATTTTCTTTTCAAGAGCGAACCTTTTACTCTTTAATACTATCTGCCCACAAGTAGATGTCACTTCTGAGACAGAACATCTCTGACCAATCCCTGTGCTCCTCAGGAATGTGGGTCCACAGCCCCACCGAGACACACCGGCCCGCTGAGGTCAGGGCTGAGGGATCAGCACTGCCATCACCCGGGAGGTACCAAGACCGCAAGCGCCTCTCCTGGCGTCAGGCAGGGAAGGTGAGGATGAGCCCCATTTCCTTGCAGCTGCCTCACCCGAGGGTCGCTGGCACCTCCTGCCAGGCCACCCTGCTGGGAGTCATCCGACTCCCCAGGTGACGTGCTGGCCCTTTATCGCCCCGGCAACTCTGACCACACTCTTTTTGCACAGAGCCCTTCTCCTCTGGCTCAGTCCCCTCCCCTCTGGACAGTCCTCAGATCCCTTTGGGAGGACGGACCTGAGGCTGTGGTCCTGGCAGGCTTGGTGGACTTTTTACCAAGGGAACAACGTGTTGTGTTCTCAGTCCTTTCGGTCAGGTGTGCCTCTCTGGCCGAGGTCTGTAGGCACCCCCAGCTTTTAGATTCCTCTTTCCAAAGCCCCCACCCCCGCTCGCCCACGGTCCCCTCTTTTAAAGCCACTGGCTTTTCCCTCTTGGGACGGACTAGTATAACCTGACCCGGTGGCATGGGACGCTACTCCTTCCTCACGCTGAGGGAGGAGGGAGGACTAGCCCCACCTGCGGACCAGGGCAGGTTCAGGGTGGAAACTTGTCTGCTTCACAGAGCAGACAAACCTGCTGGCTCGTAACAAATCCACAGCCCTTTCCCCACTGCCTGCCGCTACCCAGCAATGTGGAGATGTCACCTTCAGTCTCTATCAAAACACTCAACAGAATCGGCCTGAAGACTGACCACTGATAACCACCTCCCCTGAGAGCGGGGTTTGGCTCCTTGCCCTGTTTCCTTTCCGCCATGCCCACTGCCTCGCCCCAGAGACAACACACTAGTCCTACCTACAGCAACTTAGCATTTAGACAGTGTTCCAGGGCCTTGCTGGTGGTGCAGGGTTTAAGTCTCAGCACTATTACCAGCCACTGGAGCATGAGTTTGATCCCCAGCCAGGGAGCGACCCCAGGGTGCAGCAGACCCCTCCTTTCTCCCGCTGCGCCCTCAGCAGTGTGCTTCAGAGGATCTCCTGTTCTGCTCCCCACTCAGTCTCTGGCGAGTCCTCTCCTCCTCCCCACCCCTGTACCTCTCTGGCCTACTCCCCCGTTCTTGTATACATAAATAAACTTTTGAAAATAAACAGCTTTCTATGTGGAAATCTTACAACGGAATTTGAAGGACTTAAAGATACAGCCAGTAGTTGCCTGTATCACCTTGCTGATTAATTTCCTTAAAGAACCATAGTTAGAAATCACATCATCACAGTTATTTTTATGTTCGCTAAATGCATGCTTTCCATTAGCTTCACCCATCTGCCTGACTGACATGGAAATTCACTCAACCCCACGCTTCTGTGGCCTATCTGCAACATTTTTTATACACAGGACGACAGTTTATTCTTCTAACCACTTCTTAGTATCGTCCGGACACAGTGCTTCAGCACCCTGTGATCTAGGTCCCCAATCCTGAGAACACTTTTGTTTCAGACATTTGCATTTCACAAGTTTGGGGCAACTACACCTGGCATTCTCCAGTGCCGGCTTGGCCCAGGCAGGGAGCCGGTCAGTGCCCGCCCACCTACCTCGCTGCTCACGTGTTCTGTCTCCCCACTGCCCGGAATGCCCTTTCCACCCCTGCCTAGCTGAACCCTCTGCCTCCTCCAGAGCTAGATTCCAGTCCCAGCTCGTCCATCAGCCTTTGTACACCTGGTTGTTCTTCACAGACCTCTCCTTGTTCAGCACCCTTTGATGAGACCTACACCACTCATTCTGTGCCTCCTTGCTTCTGAACTGTTTGCCCGTCACCCGCGTGTCTGGAAGGTAGGGACCACAACATAGTCCTTCCTGAAAATTCCTATGGTGTTCAGCAGTTCACTTGGCTGAATGACTGTCACCTGTTCCATGTAGCAAGACAATCTGCTGGAAATGCGTGGCATTATTAGAACATTCTGTTTTCCAGAGTGTGTCTGTTCTCACAGTACTGGGTCCATTAGGCCCTTGCAGTGGTTGCCAGCAAAAGGCTGCCCGGTGGGGCTGGGGACTCGGAGCCAGGTCAGCACTCTGCTGCAGGGACTACCTCCTTCCCCAGTGAGTGGGGAACTGTTTCGCGAGTTTCCTATAACATAACATATCGCTTTCAGGGGACATAACCTTTAACCCTTGATATTAAGAGTAGAACAGTCACAGACATTTTTCAAACTCAAAGCTCTATTTCCCAGGAAGAATCACAACTACAAATAAATTACTTAAACAAACTAAAGCCTGTAGCTAGTCCCAGGAAATCAAGTTGACAGTGACAAAGAAGCAAAACAAATCATAGGAAGTTCAAGTAAGCACATATTCCTTTCTTGTGACTCTTCTATGGCCTACCAAAGAATTTCAACTCTAGGATAGTCTGGCTCAAAAGCTTTACTACCATATGTTAGAGAAAGTCATCCAGTTATACATAGTGTGGAATCACACAACTACTTTTATCAAGGTAAATCAAATTCTAGTTTTTGCTGTACAGTTCATGCATGAGCCACGAAGACAAGCATCACTGAGAGAAAACCAAAATGGCCCCTGCAACTTTCAGAAGGTCATGAAGCCCAGTTCCAACCTAACTGGCATTGCTACTGGCCCCAGGACAGCTGCTTGGGACAGTTTTTGCCAAACAGGAATAACTGTTTATTTAGCTAAATAAAATAAACTGCTTATTTAGCTATAAAGTCAGCACGATGTGCCATTCTTACTGACTACAGTAAGTCTGAACTGGGGTCCCCAGAGTATTCTCAAGGCAACTCAGATCCAGGGTAACATCCAAACAAAGAGAAAGAGAAACTCATGGTGAGCACTACTCACTGATCTTCTGTTCCAAAAAACTTCACAAAGAAGCATTTCTTTCCACGTGGTTTCTTCAAGTCCTTGGGTGGATTAACAATCTAGAAGATGAAGGGGAAAAAAGGTTTTTTCCACAGCTTTCAAAGAATTAAAAAGAATCAAACAAAAGGAGTATCTTAAAAACAAAACAAAACAAATCCAGGGCCTAACATGTCCAAATCTGGTACTTTTCTACCAAGTGCGAGTGAGTCTGATTCTAGAAGTTCCCTATATAATGCACAGCACCATGTTCAGCAGATACACTGTCCCCTTTACTGCAACTGACTTGCTTTAAAAGCTCTTAACATTAACATGAACATCAGTACCCGCAGGTGACCGTCTCTCCACTGAGGAAGTGTTGAGAATATTCTTAAAGATATTCTGTGCAGGAAGAGTTGAGACAGGGAACAGTAAGAACAACGGAGGCCTGAAAATACACATTGCAGAAACAACCTAAAGATATTTCCTGGGCTTGCAGCAGTATAAAAACGGAACGTTTGGGAAGCTACGATGGACCATCTCATGCAAAGCCTGGAATGCCAACTCCCGCAAAGACACGCTGGGCAGCACATATGGTAACAGGCGAGGAAGATTAAACTTAGTTGGGACTAAAATACTTCTGACTTTTCACTAACCTACATTTAGATTTCGCTCTTCCTGGAGATTGTTTTTTTTTCCTTCCTTTTGTTAGCTTTGAATGTAAAGCTAAATTCAAGTTGGAACTGATTTCCAGGGTTGAAAGACGTGTCATCTCTGATTCAAGAAATAAGCAGGTAGGGCCAGTTAAAGGAGCCGTTTACCTTAGACTGCCTTCACTAAGTGAACTGATGCTACAGGAAAGAGAAACTCCACGCGCTATTTAAATAGGCCTATTTTAACCCAACGCTCGCAATGAGGGACATGCATCTTACAGTCTCCATCTCCTCAAACCCAAGTTCAGGAGTCTTACTTCAGCACCAACTCACCTTTCCTGGCCAAGGAGGATACCTGCCGAGTTTCCCCCTAGAGAAAGCACAAAGAGTCAGCATCTGCCTGACGCATTCAACAAGCAAATTAGTCTCCAAAATCCCTACTTGCACCTTCAGGTGCTAGAACAAAAGTCACTGGGAATTATCTGGCTTCCACAGCTGGGCCAAGAAGTCCAAACCCCCCAGAAATGGAATGAAAAATGGTCTGGGTATGTGCATTTCTCTAGAGATGGGGGCTAACGACAACAGAGCTACCCGGAGACACTTGTCTACAGCCTCCCCGGGAGGGCGGCGGGCTGTTTGCTCTGTACACACAGACTCCCCTTCACAAAGTCTGTCTTAGCTACTGGGAGCCCAGCCCGGTCTTGACAAATGCTAATGGAAGCCTTCCTCCCGTGGAGAAAGGAGCTGCGCAGTTGCTGGGAGGCGGCGACAGTCTCGGTCCCGGCGGCTGTCTGGGACACAAGCAGAGCGCGAGAGGCACCCCCGATGGCACTGGTCACCCCCGAGCCTCCGGCTGGAAAGGAGAAGTCCCCCTGCATTTCTTCACGGGGCAGCGCCAGCAGTACACTTTCGACATCCCGGCGGAGTGGCCGCCTCATCCGCTCCATCGCGACGCGGGTCTGACGGGCTCTCCGGGGCGACACAGCCCCGCGGGCTTCCCTGCCTTCCAGGAGCCCCAGCAAGCCCCCGAGCCCAGGATCGGCGCCCGCTGGAGCCCCGCCGCACCAGCGCCTCCCTTCACGAGGGCCGCCGCCTTGCGCGTCCGGGGGAAGCCCTCCGCGGGCCGGCCTGGGGCACAGAGTCGGC